GAAAGAAGACAGTCTTTCTTCAAAGTTAGCAGGCTGCTGTGCAGTTAAATTGCTAATTTGATATGCTGTTGGAGGGGAAGAAGGCTATAGTTCTCATAGTCAGCAAACTCTTCCTGTACTGCTTGCCCCCTCATTGCTGAGAGAGATTAGGGCAGAAGAAAGAGCCTGAAAATGTCTTATCTTCCAGTGCAGGAGAAGTCTGGTAAAGATCATATATGTGGTATGATGGTGGAAGTTCCCAATGACATTTTGTCATAGTAACACCTTAGTTTTTTAGTGTTGTGGCTTGTATGGGCCCTCAGGAACAGGAATAACTGCTTTAGTTTTGTGGGGGACAGGGCAGGATAGCAAGAACCTTTTCCAATTAAGGTGCTGTTAAACTTCTCACTTCAAAACCAAGTCACTGTTTTAGGAGAGTTAGAAATGTTTTAATTCAGGGCCACTTTGCTAGGTAATCCAATATACTTACCTTCTTTATTTAAACTTAGTATTTCTGAGGACTTCTGTTACTTAATAAACCAAATTCAAAAGAAGCATTGGAAATAATGTAAAAATTTAGGAAGTGTGTGAGGGGAAGGCACTAGACTGACTTGGCCACCTCAGTACCTTTAAGACTTTGCTGCAGTGCTATTATATTGTCTGCTACAGCATTTCCTTCCAAGAGGGGGAGAATTAACAACTATGCACATACTTAGAGCAAGGACTGGAAGAGTTAATGATGAATAGTGTTGATAATAGATTTGGCGGAAGAAATGTATAGATACATGCTATAATGTGCTCATGTTTTGGCAGCTTAACTCGAGACATGATGACATGAGAACTCCCTCCTTGATTGTCCGTGCTGCTGCGTAGTTGTTCCACCAGGCATGCACTATATCCTGACCAAAAGGAGGCAGTGCTGCAGGACTGGTGATCACAAGCAAGCCCAAAAAATATAGACTACATCTTAAAAATCCTGATGTTTATTTTTAAACTTCAGTAGGTTTTTATGTGCTTTTCCCCCCTGTCCCTTTAAATTTCAAGATCCACTGAAAGCACATTTTCAAGCTCACTTCCCTTCCTCCCCCACAACTACAAGGGCTAGGAATTTGAGGTCTGAGTGAGCTGAAATTTTTCATGCTGTCAGTTAATTGCAGCAGCAAGAAGTTTAACTGTCACAAGACTAGGTATGGAACTAAGATTATTTTAAGGTGAGTAGTATTTAATTTGGTAGTAACCACTTTTTAGTTAAATATTTATTAACTAGTTTAGTAATAGTCAAAGGTTTCTTACAAAATAAGTAGGACAGATGGAAAAGCCTCCTGTATCATATTATTAACAACCTAATTTTAAGCAAGAAAGCAAAAGGAAGGCTTACAAGCATTACAAGGGGATCGTAGTGTGGACATGTGATTACAACAGCTGTAGTTTCCTGCATGATTATTTTATTTGGTGGCGTGGCTACATCAACCGCATATCTAAGTTGAAAGATAAACAGAGGCTATGAGATAGTGGCTCACATCAGATACCACACTTACTGAAGCAGCAGAATAAAGACTAAACATAAGTAAAGTTGCAGCTCTGACAAGGATGTGGGTTCCCTACTTCCACCAAGGGAAGAAAAAATTAGCCTCTGGGCTTATATAGCTAATTTGTCATATACCCAAATGTGTCTCTGTGGTGGGTTGGTGGGAGCTAGGGTGGACCCATCTACCCATAGGACATGCAGGCTGATGTCCTGAAATCTCTTAATACCCTAACAGAGTCTGTCTTGTCTAATTCTGTAACCGTAGCTCTGCCTTGGCAGGGGTGGGAAGTTGAACAGGGGAAGTTAGCTTAGATTGCTATTAAAAAATGCTCATGAATCTTTTTACAACACTTATGCAGCCCATTGCTTGCTTGCTTTCAGCTAACACTGTGAACGTCGGGTGTTGGTCGGCTGGGTTCCTCTCCCCTTTCATGGTGCATGCATCAGTGTAGGCTTTTTAGAGGAGGGAATAGAACAAGTTCCTCCTTGTTTTGCTTAGCCCTGACTGACCTTGACCTAAGGGCACCATGACCTCAGTCAGGCTGAAGAGCTTAAATCAAGGTGCTGGGTCTTGTGTTGTGATAAATAAGCTGGAATGTGACTGTCATTTTACGTCTGAACTGTGTCTTCTCAATTGCCTATTTTCTTGCATCTCTGACTATGGAAATTTTCTAGTGCAATATTTGCATTGTAGGCGTTTGTTTTCCTTTGATTAACTTTCTATAACACTCAGCTATTTTAAAATAGCAAAGAAGAGCTGGAAAATGCTGTCACCCAGAATAATTTGTTCCATAAACAAGGCGATGCTTTTCTTTACAAACCAGGTTAAGAAAGTCTTCATTAAAAGACCATCTTTCTTGACTACAGAACTTTCTCTTCAAAGCACTGAGAGAAGTCAGGCACTGGGGGATGGGATGGTGAGAAGACTCTTCACTTGTATAATTAACGTCCATTTTATGTTCCTAAGAGCTGAGTTAGGTGCACCCTTAATGATGCTATGTTATGTGTGTCCCAGGCTGAATGTCCTATATAAGACTTTGAAACTTGTTATGGATTCCTTATTATGCCATTTGAAGAACAATGTTGACTTATTCTCTTGTTTTAATGAATTTTTTGCAGGCTGTATGAATATCTTTGTAAATACTTTACAAAGAGAACAATTTTTCATTTTCTCTGTGAATACTACTGTTATTCCTAATATTTTTGTTTTTAAAAGACCCTTTATGGGCAGCTTTGCCTTGTCTTTTCTCTGTTTTGTAGCTTGGTCTGACTCCTTGGCAAGGTTCTCTTTCACATTGAAGTTGGCAAAAATGGCAATTTAATCAGTTGTTAGTTTAGCAGCTTTATCTGAAGAGCTGGTTCATTATGTTCTGTTGTTTAACTGAAGCTTGCATTGATTGAATTAGGGAGTAGAAAGTAAACAGTTGACTTCCACTTTAGTGGGATAATTTAGCAAACTTTTGCAAAGCAGGAGGGGGTAAATATACTGACAATGAAAGGGAAAAAACTAAACCCAACAAACCAAAACCCAACCAAAGAGTGTGGTATCTTTTTCAGGGAAATAAGCCAATTGCTGTTAATGCCACTTGAAAACTCACCTACTGGGCTTAGTCTTGTAATGTTCTTGCAGTTTTAGGGAAAGGCTCTTACAAAATTATTGCAAAAACTTGGGGCTTGCTCTAGAAGTTGAGACTGTTTAAAAAAAAAAAAAACTGCAGTGACTCTTCTTGAAGAGTCAAGGGAGTTGGAGCTGTAAGGGAGGCAGTGTTATTTCCCAAGGAAGGTTGAAATTGCAGCAGCTGCAGCCTGTCAGTGTTTCATCCAGAACAGAGCAGGACAGCCTGGAGGATAGTTGATAACGTTAATAGTTTATACCTTGCTCATTGCATGGCTTTGTTACTGGTAGGTGGTGTTATAAAACCCCATCTCTGGCCCTACAATTAAACTCCTATGAAGGATATGGGGGGAAAAAATAAATAAGTGGTTGCTTGTTGCACTCAAGTCATTCTAACAAATAGTTCACTGTTAGGTATTTCTTCAGGGGTGAAGCTATGTGAGTGGCAGTAGTTTGCTTCTCAGTTCCTAATAACAAAATGCAGTGCGCTCTAGTAGTTTCTTGGCCTTTGATAAAAGATATAATGTTAAAATGTTACTAGCATAAAGCATATTGCTGTAAATCAGTTGGACTATATATACATTGAGTTTTATTGCCTTAGAGCTGTTTAACACAGATTTAAAACAGTCACTCTAAATATTCTAAAAAGCAACATGGAATTTGAAAGAAAATTAAAGAAAAATAAAAAAAACATAAAGCCAAAGGGGCTGCTCTTTAAAAATTCCAGCAGTATGTTTGGATATGGCTTGGTTTTGCTGTACAGCTGTTTGTTACCTTCACTTTAAAATACAGATATGCAAGTAGGTGTCTATGTATTGTGTGCATTGAACCTGCTTACCATGATAGGGGGAGAAGTGAAAATAATAGAAAGATACAGCTCTCAAGTAAATTTCCACAGTAATTTGTGGCCAGAATGGCTGTTTTGGACTTTCAGAATATTAAGCAACAACAGTTCATTCATAGCTACTGAAAGGGAAGCTCAGTGTGTTAGATACGAGCAATGCAGAACTTGCTTTTTCCCCAGCATGTCTTGCCAGATGCATGAGCTTCTGATATTTCTCTGCAGCTTTTTTACTAGGCTGTGCAATGAGATGAAAACTCTATTTGAAAAATGAACGCTTTCTCTGCTATTTCTCCATAACTTAGTAAGTTCCACAGATTGGGTCCTAACTTCTTTCTTGCTTTGCGATGTGTGAAAATAACATTTTTCTGTCACTTGAGCAATGAAGTCTGGCATGTGTCAGGAGCTGGAAACTCTGCAGGACACGAGGGCATAAGCAGACAGCTTCAGTGCAGCTTTAAATGTCCAAAACCAGACTTGGAGAATATTCAGTGATCCTAAAAAGGCCAGTAGGAATTGGTGGCAGCTCATGCCTTGTTCTCCTTCGTTGGCATCAGCCTATCAGCCTCCTGCAAAGCACCAGTGCTTGTTTAACTGTGTAATTATGGAAACTGATAGTAGGTGCTGCAAGAAAGAGGAGAAGCGCAGGTACATGTAAAGGCCAACTTCTGACCCAAGAGGCTGGTTTCTTTGTGCTGCCAGTGGACAGAAAGGAGCTCCTACTCTGCCATGCTTCTGGAAGAGCCCGTCTTCCTCCTGTGTCTTCAGAGAGAACCTAGGTTGAGCATCTCTCAATGCTTCTGCATTACCATGCAGAGTATGCATATGTGGTAGGCATGGAGCAGCGTTCAGCTCCTGCAGCTGGGACTTTGTGTGAGAAATCAAACTGGAGTGATCCCCTGTCAAAGTTGTGGTGGTGGTGAATGGCTGTAATAATGATGATTTCCTTTCGTAGGTTTCAAGATGCCTTATAAATGTTCATTTTAATAGCATAACTTGGATTTAAATTTCTTGTTTTGTTTTTCTTATGTTTCAGGTCTATGAATCATGAAACGAATTCTTCTGGTTTTTATCCTGGCAGCTGCTGTTATGTATGGTATACTGCATGGAAATCTGTGGCGAAATAACCTCTACTGGTATGGTGATGCTTTGTTCGCTTTTAGTGCAGACACCCTCATGGCTGAGAGAGAGATGTGGCTGTGAGTTGCTGTGTTGCTGAACAGCTGTTCACTAGTAATCCACAGAACTGATAACTACTCTGTGTGTGTTTACTTTGTGGTTGATTTTTTTTTTTTTGGTAGGGTGAGGGAATGAATAGGATTGTTCTGTCCTGTCGCTCCTCTTGTGTCACTTTTAAACCTAGTAGTTGATTTGAACCTGGTTGTAAGGTGAGGTCAAGACCTCAGAGGTAGGGAGCCCCTCTGAGTTTCATGAAAATAGGTGTTCAGGTGAGGAGAGTTATCTTATTGGTGTGTGTCATGTGTCCGTATCTCCTCCCATCCTACATGTGTTTAGTGTTAGCTTGTTCCTTCAGATGTCTGATAAATGCCATAGGAGAGACCTGCTCCACACATGGGAATAACTGCAGGAGTAGCGGGCACCTTTTGAAAAGCTGAAATTTGGCAAGTCCCAGTGGGAACCTGGTGGGAGGTGAACCTTCACTGTTTCCAGGCTGCAAGGGACAGGTGGCTTGAGACCTAAAATTCAGAGTGCTTATCAAAGAAGTTGAGTTTCCATTGGCCTTCACACAGATGTAACCAGGACTCACCAGTGTGTTTGTGTTGTGAAGATAATAGTGATAGCTTTGAAAAGTAGTGATTGATGTGCCTCTATTTGTCTTATTTATAGCATACAATTGATACGAATGGCTTTCTGTTGTGGTTTCTGTTCATAGCAAACCACAATATTGTGACATTTCCCTTTTTGCAGGATTAGCTTTTATGGACAGACTTCCTCTGTGAGGGCTCCTCCTTCTTATGAGACTAGTGGAGTTACCCAGTAAGTTCAGCAGTTGAGTCTTTTTGTGGTGGGGTTATTTTGGTTGGTTGGTTTTTGGGCAGATGGGAGGGATTAAGACTAAAATCTGTAGCCTTTGTCCACAGACCCCCTTGTTCAACCGGTTATTGTACAGCTGTGTCCATTGGCTGTTTCTGTTATGAACACAATTGTAACGTGTCTGGCAGAAAGGAATTTGTCCATGTCATGTCTCCAGTGTTTGGTTAATATTTATGGTCACTTGCAGTGACTGTCTGTAACAAGCAATGAATTGTTGGAAGGACATTTGTTTACAACTTCCAAATTTCTACAATTCTTAGTTACACTCGAATAAAATTAGCAGAGCTATGAGGGCAGCTTTTGTGCTTAAAATGTATTAAATTAGAAGTGTGGTTCACTTGTGATGTGCAAGTGTGTGTATAAGCAGATCTTGTGCTAGTAAATTCCTGCAATTAGGTTTGTGGGACTAATGAGCGCCTATGCTAAAACTTTAAAAGCAGGTCTCTGTTCTCTCTGAAGCTGTCCTGCAAAATGCTGTTTCCGAGGCTGATACTGGAAAGCAACAAGCTGGCCAGCTGATACATTTCACAGAGTGCTTTCTCAGTATTCACATGACAACTTGAGGTTACCTTAATGGTCTGTTTGGCTTGTGGTTCTAATGTGGTGGTTTCATCCTTCTGTTCTTAATGCAGCCCAGATGCGCACATTGTTCGCACTGAACTTTACCCTCCCTTCTGGGCTTCATATTTGTTATTAATTGGGCTAAATCACCAAGATGGGGATGTGCTTAGAAGTGTAAATCTTAACCTTATTATCCTTATCCCCAAAGAATCTCATTTTTCTTGAAGTAACCACCCTATGTAGTGCTGTCTATTCCCCTCTCCAACCAAACAAGGCTCCTCTCCCCTCTCCTCTCTGAGTAGTGCTGGTTGATGCTATCTGGTATGGCTGCAGGGGTGATTCAGCCCAGGTGTCCTGCTTCTCTGCAGGTGGGCCTGAGATTGCACCTCTGGTTATGGCTGCTTTGATAGCTGCTGAGCACAGGAGGCTGCAGACCCCTTGGAGCAGCACTGTGAGATAAAAGTCTTTGCTAGTAAAAGTAATCGTACTGTAACGAGAAAGATTCATCTTTATAACACAGAGGCAATCATGAAAATTTGGTGTGGTGTTAACTCAGTAATGAACTTTTACTAATTTGGCTTGTCCAAGTTTCCCTACCGTGTTGCCGTTGTTCTTGCTATTTCTTTGAAATTCTTCTTTTGCAGGCTGCCACCTACGGCTGTGGAGAGAAAGGACACGCTGGACACTTGTCTCCTGAAACCGGCATTTGAATCTTTACTGGGGTGAGTCTTCTGTGGGAAGTGGGGGTGGGAAAGGAAGGGGTGTGCTGATTGAGGTAGAAATGGACTACTTACATATTCTAGACTAATTCATATTTTGATTCACCTTTGCACATACAGCTTTTGGGCTCGGCTTCATTGCTGCTTTTCCTGGTTGTGGCAACACAAATTGTTTAGCTTGCCACTGATCAGCATCTGAGCAATAATACCACACAAGTAGCTCAACATGCTGGTATATGTACCAAATAAATAAATACTTCCTGTTCAGATGTGGTAGCTAGTAACGGTGAAATTTTAATGATCGAAATAAAGCCTTCCTTACGTATGTCCCCCCCCATGCTTTTCCTGTAAAAGAAACCTTCATGTCCAAGACTGAAACTCAGTCATGCTGCTATTAAGAACCTGGACTTAAATTAAGATTTTTTGGGTAGTTAAGTATTTCTGTAGCAGTCAGGGACCAGAGAAATTTTGTAAATCTGTTTACTTTATTTGGAAAAAGGAGTATGAAATGTGCAAAAATTCATCCAATTTTTAATGATATAAGATTCTTCCCCTTCAATGGAATTTTATTTTTAGTAGAATTTAATTTGGAAGAAATTGGGGATTATTCATGGTTTTGTTCCTCTGATAGTATCATTGAATTGTGCGTAGGTGTCCTGTACTTTAAGGTATTCATAGGACACTTCCTTTGTAAAGAAGCAGTCAGATGAAAAAAGGAAGAGCTTCAACAAGACTTAAATGAGAGATCAAGGAAGTGCAACAGGACCAGAAGCAGACAGGCTATATTGACTTTCTGTTTTACCTCAGCAAGCATTGAGAAGCATAGCCCTGTGAAAGACCAAGTCCTGGCTGAAGGAGTTCTTAAAGCTCTGAGCAAAGACACTATTGTTGGGTGGGGTTTTTTTTTGTCCTCTTTGTGTACAAGAAAACATGGCTTTGATTCGGTGCTATTATTATTTTAAAGAACACGGAAGGATCTCAAGTTTGTCCTCCCCAAAGAAATCCTGTAGTGTTTGAGTTTTGGTTAGCTGCCTGGCCCAGTGAGGTGGTCCTAGGTCCCTCACCCACAGAGGGTGCCCAGGCTGGCTCAGTGTTGGGCACAGCAGGAGAGCTCTGGGGCTGAGCAAGGGGCAGGAATGGACTCGGAGATGCTCAGCCAGAAGAAGGTAGGTGCAGAGCTAGAACAGAGTCTCTTGCCTATTTCTGTAGCTCCTTTACAGAGATAGTTTGTGTGAGCTGAAGATCTGGTCTGTGCACTTGGGTAATAGCCTGAGGAGGTTGAAAGGATTTCTAACCTGGCAGAATTATTTATTGGAAAGGAACCAGAGCTCGAAGAGCTAGAATTAAGGATCTCTTTGCAGTACGTAAATTATTTATTATGTCTAAGCTTACCAGCTGTTTCTGAACAGCAAGGGAAGTTATTAAATTTAATATGGGTGCTTAGTATATGATGTCTCAAAGTTAGCTGGTCTTGCTTAGTTAACCTGTGGCCTAGTTCTTGGTGTGTGGGCTGTCATGGTTTGTTGTTTGGGGTTTGGTTTTTGTGGGGTTTTTTTTCTGTTCTTCCTTTTTACTGTTAGTATCTTCTGAATACATAGAGCTCAGAGTAAGATACTCAATTTGTGAAACTGAGGGAGTTTTGGGTGTTTTTTAACAGCTATTAATATTCTTAATGGAGAAACAAGTCGTGTTGGCTGTGGGTATCTATGATCAGCACTAGGTTTTCTCACTGTGACTGTATACTTCTGTGTTAACATTTTAATACAAGACCTAGTATGCAGGATTGCTACAAAGTCAACCAATTCAGTGAGTGTGTGTCCACTTAACTCCAAGGTGAAGCCAAGAGCATGGTAGCATGTGACAGCATTGGGTCTACTGTTCATTCATTTGGCTTGACTTGGCAGATATGGTAATAAGAGTCCCTTCCTTTCTGAGATGACCCTTGTCTGTGGTTACTGTCTTTTGAAGAAAGAAGTGACCCATGCTTTCTATCTTGATGCTTATAAGGTATGACGCCATCATGTTCTAGTTTGTAGGAAGAATGCGCTTTTGAGGCAAACCTCCGTGTGATCCCCACGTGCCATGCTTCTCATCGCAGGGTGGCCCTGGCACGTGTGCACTGGGCTCCTTTCAGACGTCTGACTTCTGGCTAAGCCGGAAGATGCACTGCGGGAGCACACCCGATGTACTGCAGCTGCTAAGGGGTGTTCAACCTGTGGGACTTTACTAGAGTTAGTCCAGAGTAAAAAAAAAAAAAAAAAAGATGTGTGTAATGTGGATGTGAGAACTCCATACTTTTGCCGTTTCCCCAAACTACTTACTAATGTCAACACAGCCATAAAGCTCCACTGGTTTGGAATGGGAGCACATCTCAAATAAACTGATGTTTTCAGGAGATGGTATTTATGAGTTAAAACACCTTGTTTCAAATCCCATTCTTGTTTATTAAATTGCCATATATAATAACAACCCTTAATTTTCCTTGCTGTTTCTGTTGTGTTCTTTTCAAAAACCTGAAGTAATTGTTTTCCTGGATTACATAATTCTCTTAAATATGTTGTCTCACGGTGTAAGCTTTCAGTCATGCGACTTTAATGACTCTATATAACTTATATTAGCAGAGAAATAATTTTATCTCACTCTCTACCTATATTTTCCATTATAAAATCTTCCTCTTTTGTCACCTGCTTTCTTTCCTTGTGTTAATGAGTTTTCTTCTTTTAAAAATTGATAATACTTGAAGTAGGGTAAAGAAAGCTTTTTTAAAAGCAACTGCATGCATTATTGGCTTATTCAAATACATTGTGTGGATTTTTGAAACTTCTTACTTTTCCCCTTTATTAGTGTTGACAAAATATACCCGTTCTTGTGCGCTAATGATTTTATCAGAGTGGCGGAGTTCCGCGGGAGCGATAAGTTCGAACTACCTTACGGAGTAAAGAGAGCAGGTTTGTGTTCCCTGTGTACTTTGTTTTGAAATGGAAATACCTAAATGGCACACAAAGCCACTTGAATCTCTGGCCGTGGTCTTCCCTATTCACCAATGCCAATCCTTTTGGGGGTATATAGCAGTGACTTAATGGCTTCATTTAGTCCCTCTGACCTGGCACCTTCCTGTTTTTAACAAATAAAACACCATGTTGGGGTTGCCCCTCTTAGCAGAGAAGCTCCAAAAGGTTGGAGTGAGGAAGAGTGGCGCTTATTCAGCTTCCTTTTGTTTGTATGTGGGCTGGAGCGCTATAGATATTTAGCTAGGGCTTTGCTAGGTGAAATATTAACTGGGTCAGTGTGATGGGGTTTGATCAACACACCTAAGCCGATCAGGATCTGGAGTCCTACTGAGGCAGAAGTCCCCAGATTACATCAGCAGTTACATCAGCAGAATTTCCCTTTTACTGGGCTAGCTTCTCCTACCAGGGAAGGTGTCCCTGGGGCTGCAGGGGGTATTCCCTCTGTACCCCATGCAAAGCATTGGCCTGCTCATGCCTTCTGCCCGCATTGGTCAGGGCAGAGTAAACAAGGCCAGAGACCCTGAGGGTCTTAGTTGACCTTTTGGAAAGGGTTGTGAAGTCTCAAGCCTGAGTCTTTAACGCTGAACAGTGCACCTTCCTAGTACCCTGTGGATTTGGGCTTTAGAGTTTTGATTTGCCCTCCATCGGTGTGACGAGGACGGTGCATTTTCCCGCACCTCTGGGGTTGCGGTGAGGAAAAGTACACTTAGGAGTAGTTAGAGGCGCACTGAGTGTCCAGCAGACACCTGCCTACCGAGGGAGGGCTGGGAAGGTGCCTCTGCCCAGCTTTGCCAGTGAGCACAGGCTGGTTTGATGTCTCCTCCCAAGATACGTAATACTGTCTCTGGCTGTGTGGACCCTCCACTTGGGTCAAGGCTGCTTCTGTTTCAACTGAAGATGAGTGGAAGACAAAGTCAATTAGGATGCAGGTCTTCAAAACTCTTCTGGTGCTTATTTACTGTAACTAAGATTTTTTTGATGCAAATCCCATGCTATTTTCCAACAGAGGAATGTTGGGGCAGGAAATGCTTCCCAGAGAGGAGCTCTGATAAACCTGACTTTCTTTGGTGTCATTGATTGACCTGTGGCCCTGAAGTACAAGTGTTCTTATTGTGAGTTTTTTATGCACAGTGCATAAAAACTACCATGTCTGAAAATCCTGTAGTCAGGGTGGCGTGCTTATTACTATATTGGAAAGCACTGAACATTTTCATTAATCTTCTTTATATTTGCTTTCTAGAGCAATTTTTTCGTTTAGCCCTTTCAAGACTGCAGAACTGTGGACTTTTCAAAGAAGATGACAGGTGAGATGGTTTATTTGCTACTGTTTCTGTTCATCGTATTTTTAATAGTTAATATTTATCTGAAAAGGAATGTTGGTGATATTATCCTGAAATGGCTCAAGTTAGCCAAGATGCAGATCTGACTGACAGTGTCCAAGCAATATGTAACTGATTTCAACATTTAAATAAGTTTGGTTTTAAACATATGTAGCACCAGCATTCAAGAATAAGCTCCCTCACAGAAAAATTAAACTTACAGACTTCTTTTTATAAGTGTGTTAGGAATTTGCTAGCTGAATACAGTCCCATCTTCCTGTAGGATCTTTTTATACTTGAGGAAAGTGAAACCGCCCTTTAAAAATATAATGTGATCTCCTGTTTCAAAGTCATTATTAGTGTAACCTGGAGAATGTTTGAGATAAGCGGGTGCAAACAAATGGCTGTTTTTACGCAAAAGAAATCTTACTCATATCCCCGTGCCACTGCAGCCGCTGGCCTGCTGCACACCCGTGTTCATATGTATGCTCAGCTTCCTTTCCTGGGAACGTGGGAGACAGGCAGCCAGCTCCTGGCACTGGGGGAGTAACCAGGGTGTGGCACAGAGCACAGCATGCCTTAGATAACTTGCTTCCAATGCATTAGATTGTCCTGATTAAAGATCTCTTGGTTAGAAGCCACTTCTGCTGGTATTTTTGGTTCGTTTTTTTGGAGGGTCTTTGTGTATGGTGTATCTTGTTATTGGGGTTTGTTCTGGTTTGGGTTTTGGGTTTGGTTTTTTTGGAGGTAGTGCAGTAGGATTGGCAAATATACTAAAATCCTGTGTTTACCAAGTGATGCAAATGATGTCTTAGATTTGCGGTCTAGCAAATGGGCCGACAACCTGCCATATAACATGTTAGTATGCAGGCTTCTTAATAGAGGTGAATGCAAATAATGCTGAGGTTGACTGTACTTGGGTTTGTTTTTTAAATCAAGGAGATCAAACAGAAGATTGTTGCTCTAAGCCAAATGCCAGGATCAAGTTTTAATTAAAACTTGGGTGGAATATGAACAAAATAATTGGTGTTCAAGCCTAAGAATTATCTTGGGTTTAATACCCAGTTTTCCTTTTCTTCACCTACTCTACGCCTTCCTTTCCCTGTGTTAAGTATCTATTTCTAGGATGTTCAGGTTTACTTTTAAGGAGACAAAATAGGGGGGAAAAAAACCCCTGTCCTCTATCAGAGTGTGACAGTGGGGGAAATTTATACAGAATTGGCTGACAAAGGCTAGTCTTTTGTCTGGAGTTTGAAGGATAATGCTAAATGTTGTATTAGAAGTTTTCTGAAATCACAAGTTCAGCACTATAATTGTTTTGGCTGTGAAGTAGAGAGATTTGCAATACAGCATAGTGCCTCTTAAGTGGAAGTGTCTGTTCTATAGATCAAAAGTAAGGTAATTGGTATTCTTTGAATGTAGGTTCTCTGAGATATAGATATGTTTAGTGGTTCTGGGAAGTATGCTTCATCTTAATAAAAGTGATATACTTTAGTACTGAAATAAAATTAGAACTATTACTCTTTAATAGGCAGGAGTATAAATAAATCAAATGTGCAATGACTTCGTACAATGTATTCTTTCTAGATCCATCAGGTTTTGTGCATAATACTGTTAGGGCATGAATCACTATAGTAAGGAAGAGCTTTTATATATTTATTTTACATATTATTATATATTTAATATACATTTAACTAAGATACAGTGGCTTTTAAATGTGAAACACTTTGGGAATTAATCCTAACAATATTGTCCAGTGCCACAGCAACAGAATTATTATGTAGTTCTGTATTACTGCTGCTTAATTCAGCCGCCTTGGCGGAACGCAAACCAAATTTC